TTCTCTCAGGTCTCAATAACCTATAGCTCAAGGGCCTCTTGAAATGGAGATTATACCATTTTAGTAGTTTTTGATGAATTTTTCTTCAATGCCTAGCAGCTTTTTGAATCTCTTCTCTACTTTTGGCATCTATAACAACCTATGGCCATAAGCTCCCCAACTTGGAACCAAAGCTACTCACAGCAGTCAAAATAACGAATTTAAGCAGTGGTAGAACAATGTTTTTGTTTAAACTCAGGAACAATTACAATGAACTGCTGAGAAGATAGACATGTACATCTTTAATAACAAGAGTACAGACTATTCCCTATGCGGAAAAAAGGCTGGAGAAAGGAAACCACATGAAATAATCCACCATCACAGCAGGAGGAAAGAGGACTTCATGTTGTCCATTTTACACACAAGGAATGGCTTGAAAAGGGCACTAAAGTCAGTGCTCATAGTTATGTCTCGCTTTGGGCAGGACAGAGAAAACAGAGACTTGCTTGAGCACTCAGTGAAATGATTTCACCTTGTCCGGAGTAGGCAAGTTTTTACCCTGGGAGAAGTTATGGTGACACTCCACAGGGTTCCTCAGCCCCACGTGTGGACTCCAGGAAACTCCAGCCACCACGCATGGAGCAAGGGTTCCTGAGCAAACATTTCATGTAACCTGCTGGCCAAGAATGGTCCCTCAGCCACGGGACTAAGGCAGGAGCACAGGCTGCAGCATGTGGCTGCCTGCTCCCCATTGGGCTACCCGAGTCCTTCCTGCAAGTCTGAAAATCTCTGAAACCAGTATCTGCAAGATTGTCCTGGTTTTGTTCCCACCTGTAATTTAAGGTGGGACACTGATCTACAGAACCTTAGATCCTCCTATCTGCCCTCTTCTCTTTCATCCTGCTATTTCTGTGAGAGTAGTAGATCCAATTTTGAAAACTGGCCCCAGCTTTGAAAGACTAATGCAGGCCACTGCCTTTGCAATCCAGTTTTCTTGTAGTCTTGCTAGATTGCTTTTCTATTCAGCCTTCAGGGTGTGCCATGAAACTCATCTAATTTCTCAGATGCTGGCCTGAGAAGCTAGGGAGCAGTGAGTTTCTGGAAACACAGTTATAGTTTCCACAAAGCCAAGAGCTGCTATTGTTGACACTGTTCAAACCTGTGAGCCAAGTTAGCTGCTCGTGTAGCTACCACAGGTTCCAGGGAGCTCTGCCAGCAGAGAGTATCCGGTAGCTAACCTAGAGACTTTCTAGTGAATGCCTCTGTGTACTGGGAAGTGGATAAATTCAGACCGGCATCCCAGCCAGCTGCTCCTGTTTCCTTCCAGTGAGCCAAACTTCTCAAGGAATCACAGGGCGAGGAAGTACTCACACATCTTCCAGGCACTCCGGCGGCTGCTTCAGCCTGTTCCCGCTGATGAGGTAGTTGTAGATTTCTGCATTCTCAATGCCAGCATAAGGGGTTTGCCCTCGGGTCACAATCTCCCACATGGTCACCCCAAACGCCCACTGAAAGGGAACAGCACACAGAAGAAGTGAACAGACTGTTCCCTGATCGCTGGGGTGGGGTTTCAGTATGCTCAGATGGTGCCAACCCTCCCAGTCCAGGGTAGTGCCATGTGAGCAGCTATGATGCAAGGAGTATCCAAACTCTAGCTAGAAAACAGAGAAATGACCCATCCGATGCTGCTGATCCTGACACATCATCTTGGGAGGCAGCTGAAAGCCCTGCCTGGCCCCATCCTGCAGTGGAGCAGGTGAAGATTTCGGAGCTACTGCTGTCTTCCACCTGCAGGCCTCTCCCAAGCATCTCCTACTCATGGTTCTTTAAGGTATGTGGTATCAGTTTTGTGGTTCGCAGCTACAAGAAGATTTTGTTTTGGGGGTCACAAATCAGTTTCTTAATTCATTGAGCCAGATTCAGAGTTCCTGGAAATGTCCAGGCACAAATGAAAGCAGAGTTTAGCCAATAAGCAGGGCAAGGAACAGACCCCTTATGGCTCACCTTCATTTGTGCTCTACACTGCAACAGACGTACATTTAAACTAAACTGCAAGGTTTGTTAGGTGCAAAAAATCATTATTTTCATTAGAAAAACCCTGTCTAGTGTCTACTGTAAACTGGCTGAACTAGCAATCGCCAATCACTAAACACTCTCTACAGTGGTTACAGCAACCACGGGGCAACACAGCAGCCAAGTTACAAGGCAATTTTAGTTATCTCTTCAGAGACACTGTGACATGGATAACTGGGAAGGCAAGTCCACCAGCCTGAAGGACCAAACTAGGGTGAAACCAGATCAAAAGGCAGCAAGGAAGACAGGAGAAGGTATCAGAGGGAAAAAAAAAACAAAACCACAAAGGGAAAGGAAGCAAAAATTTGAGATGAATGGGTTTAGTCTCACTCCCCAGGGGTGAAGTTATGGAAAGGTGTGTCTACGCACTGACATATTTAGAATTTATGAAGTACCACCAATGCCTTCTGTAGGATAGAGTGCCTTTGCTGCACTTGTACATGAGCGTGTGGGTTACATGCATTTCAAATGTTACCTTCAAATTGTCATGCAGAAGAGAAAGGAAAAAGAATACAAGTAAGAAAGAAGAGACTGCACAAAGAGAGAGCAAAAGGAAGAGGAGAAGAGGAAAGGTGAAGGAGGGGATGGGGATAAGCATTGAAAAATGAAGAAGCAAAGGACAAGAGGAAAAGGATTCATATCTTCTGCCATAAACCACTTGCACATATTTTTAGGCTTGAGTTCTCACAGCACCAAGGCAGCACTGTCCTTCAAACATAAGGCAAACTCCCTTTCCCATCACCAAGGCATTTTCCCACCCTCAATGAATACAGGATTCCTCCACTTCACCAGGAATACAGATGGTCCCCAAATGCACCAGAACAAAACTCACCACATCACTGTGTGTTGTGTACAGATTATCTGCCAGACTTTCCAGAGCAAGCCACTTCACTGGCAGCTTGGAAGCACAGCCCTGACGGTAGTAGTCTCCACTGTAGATTTTCTTAGAAAGTCCGAAGTCTGCAACACTCACATTCATGTTCTCATCCAACCTGAGGGAAAGTTTTAAAGACTGAGAAAAGCATTTACTGGCTACCTCAGGCAAAAAAGAGGTATGTCCAGGACTGTCTGGCCGGGCAACTGAGGTATATTGTTCACCAATTATTGCCCAGAAGGATGACTTCATCTACTTGATGAACCATGTGAAATAGTTTAGTGGTCTCAACTCAGTTCCTTGAGACTCACAGGGAGATAATAAGGACTAAGGAAGAAAGGAAATGGCCAGGCTCAGATGGTCTACTCTGTCAGCCAAAGTGAACTCAGATACTTTCTGTAGTTTCCAAGATTAACAGAGGATACCTGTAGCGCTCGTTGCTACCACTAAGGCCTACACCCTGTAAAGGCAATTAAAAAACATAGGTGCTTGCCTAGACTGCCTATTACAACTGCCCAAACTACATCTGCAAGATCTTCTCTCCATATCTGGTTAATGGTCTGAATTGCTGTCACCCACTTAAACCTAGACACCTTGGTAGACAGCGCAAGTAAAGCCCAGAGACTTCAAGCTCCCAGGTCTCAAAAAGGACTCCCTGCTTCTCCCAGAAGATATGATGGAACAGGCATTCAGCTTCCTCTGAAGGAAGTCTGTATTTTTTAAAATGTTTAAAAATAGGAAATCAGTATGGGTTTCTCATAAATGTCAAAGCAGGCTAACCCATCATTTTTCATCATGACTGTAAGTCTCCTGCCTGTACACCTGGACATTCAAATGCCTTTGGAAATCTGTGTCTCATTGTGGATTTTACTGGTTATCGTGGTTTTCTACAGAGGCAGAGTTCTGCCTGCCGGAATGGGTTGTTCCTTACTCCGCTCTCAGGGAAGAAGCAGAGGGGAAAGGATTAAAAAAGGACTTTTCTTCCCTTCAAAGCAGGCAAAGCAGTCTGGGGACAAGAACAGCAATGTGGAATCATACAGTGTGTTCACCATGCAATTATTTCTAAAGGCATTCTCCACATAAGCCATTCTTCACAAGCCTTTAGGGAAATTCTACATTTCTTATATTGTGATAATCAAGTCCTCAAAATAGATACAAGAAATACAAATTTCAGGCTGTAATGAAAGTTCCTTTCTCCTAACACAGCCAAACCCATTCTCTCCTGTTGGTTACATTACATTGTGGAACAAATAGCCTGTGCTGACACACAGCCATTAGAGTGACTAATTACAAATACGTATTGTAATCAACCCTAGGAAAATATATGTGCAGACCAATGATGGAAAAGTCCCTTATAAATAGGGTCGATTTGGAAGCTCAGTGGGACATGAGGAGTTGCTCCCTGCCCCCAGCACCAGCACCACACACTCTCACCCTCGTGGCTGTGGCTCCCCTATGCCTATTGTCACTTAACTGCAAGGATGAGCATCCTTGGACAGGATCTCTCCCCACTTCTGTCACGTGAAAGGCTTGTCATCCCTCTCTCACCCTCTTTCCTTCCTCTAAAAATTCATGCGTCACTTACATGCAGTTCCGAGCTGCAAGGTCCCTGTGTATGAAATTTTTTGAGCTCAAGTACTCCATCCCACTGGCAATGTCAATCATGAACTTGAGGAGTGTCTGAACAGGCAAATTCTGAAAGAAATAACAATTTAAGTTCTGTTCCTGGAAGCTTTCAAGCACGTATGTCAAAACTGAAAGATTTGCTGCTAGATTACTGAGCAGGGACAGGGGATGCAGGGAGAAGACGGAATGGAGGAGCTGGTCCTCAACATGCATGGAATTAAATACTTCAACACTTCAACATCACATCCCACAACTTCCTCTGGTATCAAAATCTGGGTCATCTGCCAATGCCTTTGGGAGACCAACCCTGAACTGACCTGAGTACATTCTCTGAAAATCCACACCCTCCCAGAAGGAAGTATACAGCAAGACAGACTTACAAAAGGGTTTTCTCCAATCCGTGACATCAACAGAAAAGCATGAAGGTCTCCATGCTTCATGAAGGGCAGGATCACCATGGGAATTGGGAGACGGCCCTTGGGACGGCTCCGTAGACTGACTCCTAATGAGGAGACACACAGCAAAGGAGTTTTAGCAAACAGATCAGTCCCGAGGGGAATCTTACAGGATGCTGTGCTTTTCTCTTACAAATCTGGCAGAAAACATGCACTTCTGACGGGTAGGTTCCATGCTCCAAGCTCCATTGCATGGCTTCATGCCAGGAGGTGCTGAGATACCTCTAACCCTGTTTACTTCAGAGACAGCACTAAGCGTGCAGTGGCGCTCAGCTCTCCTTGCGGGACTGGCTGTAAATGTTTCTAGAATCATTACAGACCAGACAGCCCCAAACCCCAGGGTCTGCAGAGCAATCTCCAAATTCTGGAAATTGCTGGTGTTCCATGGTTCCCACCCACGAATGTCTTGGTTCTTACCCAGTATTTCAAAAAGGCACAATTTGTCTACCAACCCACCTGTCCGCATTTCACAGCAGTTTAGACATTTCTCAGCCAGCCACACTCTCCCTGCAGTGTTTGCAAGAACCAAAGAAATGGCTTACATAAGAAATGCTTATTACCAGTGTACGAGGGCAAGTGTTGTGAGCACTTATACACACTCCAACTCTCTCGAGGCCTGGGAAGGAGCAATGCTGATATATGCAGGACTCCAGGCGGCACAGAGGTGGCTACACTAGCACCGCTGTTGGACAGCAGTCGGGGTGAGAACGTGAGGCTGTGTGGGATTGTGCAGGAACAGGAGGTGCCCTGTGGCACCACAAGCAGCAGCGTTGGCTTACCAATCAGTTTAGTGACATGCGGGTGGTCAAACTCCTTCATACATGCAGCCTCTCGCAGGAACTCCTCAATGTCAGTTGACGTAAAGATGTCCGCTGGAAAAAAAGTGACTGTAAGTTTTCTTTCTTTGTGGGTGGTTCCAAGGGACTTGACAGATAATGATTATCAGCAGCTTGTTCTTTGTGGCACAGCACATCCTCTCAGACCTACAGCTACATGAGCCAGTTTACAACAAAGCAGAGCCTGACACTTTCTCCTGGGATGGGTGGCAGTAAGCACACATCAGGGACATCTGGTAAATTGGTTCTTGGCAGAGTAAGGACCTGCTGATTAGCAGCTCTTTTCTCAGTAACAACCTTCCTTGGAAGCCATGCAAATCATGTGTGGGTTAAAGATGTAAGAATTAATTAGCTAAGAGGACCTAAACCACAATGTTGGGGACAGGAGACGTCACACAAAATTAAAGAAAACATTGAAACTCAGGAGATGGCACAGCAGACCCCAATTCATCTCTGACAAGGATGGCATGAAAGATCAACGCTTTTATATCTCTTAGCATGATTGAGTCTTCTAAGGTGCAAGAGCTAAGGTTTCTTAAATAACCACCCTACTGGAGAGCCTGGACTGAATTCAGCAGTGACATAAATCAGCATAAATTTTCAGTAAATTATTTCTCATTGCTATTATATCAGATTTATGGAAGTATATCAATATAATCAAGAATTAGTGCAGTGGACTACTTCCCCCACTGCTGCTGCTGAATTTAGCAGGAGTCCTCCAGTCCTGCTACAAGATCAGACTCAGACCTGTAGGGGAGTATTAACATTATCTACTTTAGGCAAGTAATTTAAATACAATTCAGAAGATAAAAGCAGCTTCCCTTTTTACAGTCAATGGAGAAAGGAAGGTGCCTCTGGAGGGTGACAGAGAGTTCCTAAGTTAGATGTGTGAAGGTAGACAGTCTGACTACACAGAAGCTTGCAAACTGAATTATTGTTGAAACTGGATAAAATGATGCGACTTACACTAATGTGGTACTAGTATATTTAGTACAAACCGGTATTCTGTGGCAGCCAAACTCAGCTCCAGAGATAAGTGAGCGTGACACTGCTTTAATTCAGTCACAGTTAATTGTTGCCTTACAGGCAACTGGGGTGAAATAACATAGGTTAACATATATATACAAACATATATGCACATACTTGCTTTGACTTATACCTATCTATTAATTGCTTTTCTTGTTACAGACTTCTGCCTGATGAACGTGTTAGTTGCCCTTGTTACGTACACTCAGCAAATGACAAATCAGAAGGGAGTTAGACTACTTAGTCAAATACGCCTGTCTGAGATGAGTTAGCTTGTCACTGCATTCAGCCCAAACACTCTTCTGTTTATTCTAGGCTATATGCTCAGAGGGATACCATCTCTCACTGCACAATTATTAGGGCAAAGCAGACCTGTCTGAGCTGTCTATGCCACGTGATACAGCGCTGTGTTGAATCAAGCCACTGAACAAGATCCTCTATACACAGAAGCTGTAGCTATGGCTCGGGTTTGCTTGCACTCACCATGTGCTGGGTGCTGTACACGCAACTAAGGTGATATAAGTCCTTCCCTGAAGAGCTTCCACTACAAGAAGACTGACATGAAAGGGATGGGAGACAACATGGGTAGAATGGCTGAGTGGGAAGCTCAGAGAGGAGTAAAGAGCATCAGGGGATGTTTGCTGGAGAACAGGACAGACAGTATTTAATCTTTGCAAGCTCTCTTCTCTTAAGTACTTCAGGTAGCGCTGCTTCCACTTACCTTTCAGCATCTTCACTGCCACTTTCTGGAAAGAGCCATCATCTAGTTTCAGTAGTGCCTCTCGAACTGACCCAAACTCCCCTGTGAAATGACCAGAGCAGGCAGTGAGGTAACAGCTTCTTGTGAAGAAAGTATGATTCACAGCAGGTTCACTCCAGAGATCACTGGCAAAGAAGCTGAATAACCATAAGAAATGCAGCTACCAGCTTCACTTTTCACTCTGCAGTTCCATCCAGCAGCATTCAGCACGTGTGCCTGGAAGAGCTAACACTACCAGTAGACAGAGGCCACTGTGCTGGCAATTCATAAGGCAAAGGAAAACAAGAGCGAAAGAAAGCAATCCACTACCATATGGACAACGCAGAGTCAGAGTATAAACTGGGATCCCAAGCAGACATTTCTGGGGAAGCCATATCATGAGGGATGAGTCTGAGTGAGGCTCTGGTCAGAGAGGGGGCTATTAGCTGGAGCAGTGAGTGGATGGGCTGACTGAAGAAGCTCTCTGCTGACAGCCGTCAGATCTGAGTAATGGTGCCAGGACTCAACCATTTGAGACACAATCAGGCCTTATTTCTCAAAACTCAGGGAATGACTTCTGTGAATCACAGCTGACCAGACAAAACACAGAATACCTACCTGTGTGTGCATGATATGCTAATGCACATGTGGCAGTGTTTACCCTGGTGTGTTCTCTAAGGGAGATAAGAGGAAATGCAACTGGCCAAACCTTCTTCAAATTATTTTAGCCTGAAGTGGCTTTTTACCACAGCATAACAGCCTCTTTGCATTACATCTGGCCCTAGATTTGCTCTCCCTAATTTTGTAACTGCTTACCCCACCCAACATGCATCGGTATGAGGAACTCTGGTACTGAAAAGAAGGAAGCAAATACAGCACTCGGGGCACCAACCCCAAAAGCATTATTTTTCCACTAGCTTTTCACCAGTGTCCTTCACTACTGTATGGCACATGCATATTTCACAATAACTATGAACAGTGGATCTGACCACGAGAGAGGAAAATGGGAAGAAGCAAAGGCAATTTGTACTGCTTCCGTATTATGGAGCTGTCGCTCAGCTGCAGAGTCAGCAGAGCCCAAGATAATGCAGTCGTGCCATCTTATAACCTGTATATTGTGCATGGGGTTGGGGGAATGGGGATGACAACACAGACCAGATCCTGCCAGCTAGCATCCTCTCACCAAGGCCATCCCCAGGGGCCCCACTGCAGCTGACTTCCAGTTTGTTACCTGTCATGGGGACAGCCCAGAAGGGTTGAGGCAGGATCCCAGAAACTGGCCAAGAGCTGACCCTCACAAACAGATGACACAGATGTTTAATTACTTAGCATTGTTAAGCCCTCTGCGACCACTTCTGCAGGAAGGTCATGTTCCTGCTCTGAAAGAAACGCATTGGTTCTAGGAGGGATGGAGTGGAAGAATGCTCCCAGTGGGAAAGGGTCAAAGAAAACTGCAACAAAACTAGTATTATAAAGAAAAAGGAAGCCAAACACTTCAGCTTCCTTTTGCTTATGACCCCTGAGTTATGCTCCTCTCTTAGTTATTGGCTTTATCATTACACATTTTCACTTATTTCTAGAGATTGCCGTCAGCCTGAGAAGTAGGGAAGGATGATTCAACAGTTAGCACACTGGCCTGCCATTTGGGAAATCTAAATTCAAAACCACCTTTTCACACAGAGTTTCTGGGCCAATCTTTTAGCTAAAGTTAAGTGAGAAGCATCCCACCTTTACTCTGCCCATCCCTCCTGACCTGAAAACCTCAGAGAAATGTTAGGAGCACCTGTGAGGGAGATCCAGATGGAGATCCACAGTCAGAAGAGCTCCTAAGGACCTGAACTAATGAGGACAAATGTCAGTAAAATTCAGTACCTGTTCCAAATATGCCTCTATAAGAGCCCAAACTAAACTCTGGAGTCAAACCACCCCAGATGTTGAGAATATTTGAAACTGAATCAACATTTCTTTTGAGGGGCGGAGTGTTTGAGGTAGATCATGTCTGTCTCTGTATTGTCTCAGCCTGTTTAATACTTGATGCATGCTAATGTAAATGGAAGGAATTCTATAGCACCACTTTGTTAGTAGAAAAAGCGGAAGTTTAATTGAATATTCCTTTGTTTAAATCTCTGAAAGAAATTTACACACCAGTGAATCAACAGTACTTAGGAAAGCTGAGCATAGACTGCAGTTCATGACTCTTTAGAGCCATATTATAGAAATGGCTTAGCCAATATCCTCTTAGTTATGCTAAATCTTTGAAATGTTTTATCCCAGCGGAAGGGAAAGTTCCATTTAAATTGCTACCTACCAGCAGAAGGAGAGAAAACAGGCTGCTTAGAATTGCTTCTCCCTACTCAACAATAAAGCTAACACAAGCGGGACTTTCAATGTAAGGCCTTGTCCAGTTTTGATTCTTACCTTTGCCCAACATTCTTCCCAAGGTGAACTGCTGTTCCTGGATTAGAACATCTTTGAGTTTTGTCTTCAGCTCATCACTGATCCCTACACTCTCCACTGGAAAAAAAACAAAGGAAGAGTCACATAAGGGATACTTAAATATTCTGTCACAACGTCAAGAGTCACCTGTTCTAATCTCCATCTCCAATCCAATTCTCATACTGTAAGCAGGAAAACCTGAAAAAGACAGAGTTCCCTTCCATGTCCTCTAGCCTCACCACAATCAAGAGGCCAATAACTTTCAACCACAAGAAAATGCACCAACAGTACTGAAAGAGAGAGGGTGTGGTAACACCACCCTTCAACACACCAAGAGCAACAGGAATACAGAACTATTGTAAATAACGCTGAGACAACAAAATCCAGTTGGAAGGGACACTGATAGATACTGGCTCATACAGCTTAATTTAAGTTGATGGAGCTGCACCAGTTTTCAGTGGCTGGCTCTCAGCCTATTTTAAGTACAGTTACAAGTCTCACAGTACCTGGCTGAGAGGGTAACATAATGTTCCACAGTTTGTTTGGATTTTAGTTAGATTTAATGGATAGATGTCCAAACCCAGGGGAGCAAGTCAAAGACAGCTGGAGCATCATCCTAACCCAGCCATGCAATACTGCTACAGAGAGCCGTGCCCTTGCTGAGCCAGGAGACAGAAATGGATCACCTAAACTCTGGCCATTCCTGGGACTCAATCTCCTGTTTGAGAAGTTACTAATTCCTGGCCTTCCAAGACTGATTAATTGGTTCATGCTTGTAGCACAGCTCAGCACACTGAGTTTAAAGCATACTGCTAATATTGTTAAACCGTATTTATCTCACTGTTGCATAATACTACAGTTGAAGGAGTCCCTGTAGTGTGAAACTGGGGCAAGGGAGTGGTGAATTTATGCCTTGCACTAACATACACAATGACTGTAGCTGTAATTAGCTAGTGCTATGTAATTGGTATGGCAACAGCAATTCTGGCCTTTCACCTCTGACATCCACAGTGTCTAAGCCTCCTCGTAAAATCATCCCATGTTCTTGATCCAAAACATCAGTTTCATGGAAAACAGAGAGAGCATAGTACATGCATGAACACAGCTTCGCAGGCAGAATCACTCAGGTCATTTTACTTACATGTCGCTTCAATGAGCTCTGGGCCCTCCCTGTTGAAAGACCTGGCAGCTCTGAAATGGACTGCTGGATCCCCTCTGCCAACCACACTGCCAAAGGCATGGCTAGAAGGCAGAAAAGACACACAGGGCCATGATTGCATGGGCCATTCACTTCTAAAAGGGTGTGTTGAACAGTATGGATGATTTCTCACCCCTTGCCATATATATACCACAGACTATTTTGTTAAAGAGGGTGTAGCTGAAGACGAGGAACGATGGGTTTATGCTGCCTTGCTGCTGCACCTAGAGAGGGTGGGAGCCTTCCGAAAGAGGGGAATCACTCCTCCTGAGTGTCTGGGAGAAGATGCAGGTTGAGGCAGGTTGCAAGTGTCACATAAACAGAGATGCTGCTGGGGGAGGGAGGTCTGGGAGACTCTGAAAGGAATGGGAACCTTGCTTGCAGCAGGGAGCAACCCACAGCCAAGTGTTAGAGGTGATGGAAAGGAGACTTTCTTGGGGATCCAGAGGGTTCTGGGCAGTCAGGAAGTTACAAGTAGCTGCTAGACTGAAAACCAGCATGGGATAAAGAGCCCAGCCCATAAGAACACGGGTGACTAATCTGTGGGTCTTTTCTCTTTGAATCTCTTAAGTAGCAGTGCTAAGGACTTACTTACAGAATTACCTTGATCTAGTTTATATTTCCATATTCTAATATAGCCCAGCTATTGATATTTTTCCACGGTATTTTTAGTGTTGTCATTTTGAAGAAAAGGTAGCGAGTGCACTTTCCTGCTAGTCTTTAATCCAGGGTCACCACCAAAATTGTGTAAAAACAGTTAGCCAAAGAACGTGCTAAAGGTAATCAATCCACAATGCTTTTTGAGAAATAATCGAGTCAGAAACCACGCTAGAGGAGAAAGCAAACAACTCTCTAACCAGCACAAAGAGAACGTCCCTTACCCAAACCGAGTTTCCTTTCTTCTTTTTCGAAGGAGAATAAGAGCCAGGGCAACAGCTGTGACCAGAGCTGTGAGAATGCCCAATGCCACAGGAACCCAGGACGTCCCATAAGGAGGTTGTCTCTGGCCACCTAGATGATGGAGAAAACACCAGTCAGGAAACAGAAGACTGTCAATGACAAACAGACCACACTAGGATATTTTTTCTTTTTGCTTTTAAATGGAAGAGCCATGCTGCTGGATCTGGTGTACACAGTGGATCATTTGTACACTGGCATTTGGCATAAACAGCTACTCAGTCAATCATCAGAAAAATTAGCTGTTTCACACAGCAAAGGCAGAGCAGATGCATCCAGTTATCAGAACCTACTGTAGTTTTGAGCCTCAAGAAAGTAAAAGGCACTGCTCCAGATTATGTTACTGTACATGAGCTCATGATCTGGCGCACTTTAAACTGGAGTCTCAGGACAGAAAGGTTGCTTAATACGTGCATTTTCTGTGCAGGTTTCACCTTGTCCTGTTTGAAGCAGCCAGCAGAACCTTGACCAGGCTACACAGTCCTGCCTGAATGCCAACCAGATAACATTTTGAAAGACAATGGAGAAAGACAATTGCCTCGTGGCAATCTGGTTGAAAATATTTACATTTCCCCTCTCACCCCTCTCACAAAGAGAAGCACCCTGTGGGACCTGGTATTGGCTGTAACTTCCCAAGGTTATTCGTTGGTTGTAACTTCTCAATGTCCCTCTACCAAAGAAAAAGTGAATTTTAAAAAGTGCCCTGCGAGTCAAGAAATAAGTCAACCAGCATGCAGCTTCCAATTCTGGTCTAGTATTTGCTCCCAAAGTACATATATTTTTGACTACAGAAGAAATGGAGATGCTGCCAATCTGAGTAAGCTGCCAGGGAAGGGAGATAAGCAATATGGTTATGAATAAAAGAATATTATCTATGCTTGGCAAACAACAGATAAATTAATCCAATTCCCTGAGAGATTTCTTCTCCAAACACAATTACTAAAGATTAAATGTGATTTGAATGGGTTTATTAAAATCTAGGATAGCCCTCATATCTCCAAATTGTTTAAGAGCAAACAAGAACAGGTAACAGGGCCCTAAGCACCTCCTTCATCTGTATGCTCCCTTGTTCACCTTCAGCAGTTGACTGTGCTTTACCAGAAGCTAAGGAAGAATCATCTTTGATGATGTAAGTAATACTATTATGTTCTATGCCATGAGAGCATAAGTAAAACTCTCTTTAAGAGATGTTATGTTAATGGGATGAGATTTGGATGAACCTCTGCACAGATCTATGCGAAAAGCAATCAAACGTCCTTATTGGCTAAGTCCTGGCAGGCAAAAGGTTTCTAAGGCTTGATTACAAGTTACCTTGTCAAGCCTTATCATCCAAGCTTTTAAAAAAGCAATGTTAGTCTAATAAACAGGTAGAGCTTAAGGGAACAGAATTCGGGACCGTTGAGGGAACAGACTACTACTTCTCCTCTTGAAACAAATTATCAGAGCTTTAGCAACTATTTTCCAGCATCTTATCTCCTTCAGTGTCTCATATATTCTTTTCCCACCCAGAAGGCTTTATAGGCTCTGAGTTTTATGACACTCCTCCTTACTGCACCTTTTGACCTGGCCTTCGAGGCTGCTTATGAGGAGGGAGAGGGATCAGAAACAGAAGTAAAATGAAAGTACAATGAAAGGCAATTCCAACCTTCTCCACAATTCCCAAGCCAATCACTTGGGCTGTTCCTGCCAAACAATCAGGGTAGAAACAATTAACAACACTGATGTAAAAGGTCCTCCCCGATAGTTAACAATAAGGTTTCCTTCCCCCTATGGTGAGACAAACCTCTCCTGCCCTATTTTTCTACTCTGCCTGCTATCCGGTCTGGTGAGAGAGCAGGGATTTAGGTCACCTTACGGGGGCTCCCTCCAAAAGAAGGATGGATGAAAACAAAACAAAACAAACCAAAATTATTCTTCCTGTTTCTAAACCAGTAGGAATCAGGAACCCATCCCACAGTTCATAGCAAATGTGTCAGAAATAAAAATGAATGTTGAAATTCACTGCTGCTCCTCCTCTGCCCCACAGATCATTGCTTCCCACTCATGCCACTGAGCTAGAGAGGATGGCTGCAGCCCAAGTAAAGACCGAGGTGCCTCTCCTCCCCCAAGTCTGTCTCTTTCCCATCTCCTGCACCTCCCTTTTCAAACTGGCATATGCCTTAAGACTGCACAAGGCAGAAAGAAGACAGTATTAGATGAGCTTAAATGAGTATTTAGGAGCCCTTTGATGATGAGAGAACCCCTTTTATTTCTGTAGCAGGTTTTCCATCACAAAGGTGTGCAAAGAATGCAATCTAAGAGTCTTCTCCTGCATATGATCATGAAGATTACAGATAGGGAAAAGCTATTAGACCATTCTGTTCCTCTCTCAGCAATGAAAGAGAAAGGTTTCTACTGAAAATGTTTCTGAAAATATGAAAACAATCTCTGTTAATAGTGCACAAGATCTCTGCATAAGCAGGGTGGAGCTCCCACCAGCTTTGCTGTGATGACAAATACGACTTAAAGTTTATACAAGCTTAGTCATCCTTACTGCCGCACTGGGAGCTGGTCATAAACCACCCCTGGCATTTCTCACATAAAGCAACCACTGCCAGTTTGCTATTTTAGGAAAGGAAGCAACTTTTATTTTCTACCAGGCCTGAAACAAAACTGCAGTCTTTCTGAAGCTCTGCTGTTTAAGGCCTGTCAGCGTTTCCACAGTGAACCTTTATTTCCAGGCTGTTATGCTTGTGAAGAAATATATGTGCTTTCAGACAGCATTTGGCTAAAACAAGCACCACTCCTGATGCTACTTTTTTGAAGTGGTTTGTAAATAAAAACAAGCAAACATTTTGTGCTTTCAGGATTATCCCATTCCAGCTCCCTGCAAAATGCAAACTCTGTACATTCCCTGGGGCTTCTTGCTAGTGTTAGTCATTTTCCAAAGGGATCTTCTAGTCCTGTCAGGTACTTTTCTCTGTATTTGGGTGCCACAGAAAATAACTGAGCAAAAAGTAGGAGAAAAAAATTGATGGAGCCAATGCTCAACCTCTAGTAGAGTCAGCTCTGGACCTCTGCACCCCTTCATTCTGCTTTAGATAATTTGAGGGGTTTGATCCCACAGTGACTGTGCTCACACATAACCATCAGTACTGACTTCATCACAAGAACGGGGTTGCAAAAGGGCTTTTCTGAGTAACGTGCACTAGATGCATATTAAAATAAACCCAGCATTAGATGCACTACTGCAAGTAAGGCTACAGTTCTCTCCTGGTTACTCTGCCCCTATCCCCCACCTCCTGCTTCCCTGGGAACCCAACTCTAGGTTATGCCTGCCATCCCAAAGTGTAGAAGGGATCAGGAGCGATCAATGCCCATGTGATTTCTCAAAAGATATATGGGCTGGGAAGACAGCAGTGGCAGATGGGCCAGCACCAGAGATTAGAGATTGCTGCCTCGTCCTGCCACATGCACTGGGAACAAAACCTCAGGAGATAGTGGGATTTTTTCACAATCACACCTCACTGACTTCTTATCACCAATCTGTATTTTTATTCTGAACATCTTTCTCTTAGCTGTTTTACAGTTTCCTTCACAAGCAGCATTCTTCTGTCTCTTTTACCCATCTCCCCATAATAACATCCTGCCCTCCTCCATAGCCTGACTCCTATTTCCCATTCACTGTGAAATAGAAGCAGCAAGCAAACCAGCACAGATGAGCCTAAATGCCATTTATCACTAGGAATGCACTCCACACATGCATGTTCTTTGCTCCCAACAAGCCCTTCCACATGGTCCAGATTACATGGTACCACTTCTGTACTATCGTGTTTGTCTTCTACGAGTAGCTCAGCTTTTTCATGGAGAGAGCTAAACTGGTTTAATCTGAAGACATTCAGTAAAATCATTACAAAACCCCATGTGGCCATGGTTTAAATCAGGCTCAACTGAAACTAGTCAGGAATGGCTTAAAATTAAATGAAAGAAAAGAACCTGTGTTAGAGGAGTTTTCTGTCTCATTTACTCTTGTAAATTTGTGTGACTTAAGCCTAAATGAAGCATTTCAAACCTTCATTTGCACCTTTTCTATTGTCTGCCCTGCTCTGCACGAAGCACAGCAAAAGCCCATTAAAGAAGACACAGTAGTGGCCAGAAGGTGTTCTGTTTATACCAGCTCTTTAAATATTATTTAATTTCTGTTCTGCTTGATGAAGTGTGCTATTGCATAAAGCCAAGTGTCTCAGCCAGCTGTAAGCACTGAAAGGGGAAGAGTCAGAGAAAAACAGCAGTCCCAGCACTTCTGACTTTTTTCCCCAAAGTGAAGGGAAGGCAGTGGACACTCACCCATGACCTCTTGAGCTTCAAGCAGGAAGAGGTCACTCCACGGCCCACATCCTGCAGAGTTCAGCACACACACCCTGATGATCAGGTCTTTGAGAGGATTCCACGTTGTGAGATTAGCTTTTGTATCCTGTACGATCATCTCCCCCTGAGAGCAAATGGCAACAAACTGTAAGCAGTCTTAAAAAGGAATCTAGTCTAAAACTTCACCTTTAAAACTAAACCAGAACATTACTGTGTACTTCATTGGCGCTATAACAAGGGTTCGGAGTTGTGACTCCTGAGTTCTAGTCTCAGTTTTGCCACTAACTTGGGCTATCATCTTGGGTTTCTCTTCTCAAAAATTGCTAACAGTTTCCCAGGGCATAGGGGAGATATGAGGTTTAATGATTTCCTCTTCTGGGGTCCTTCCATGAAAGTTGCTATAGAAATGTTTTTTTTCTGCTATTAAAAGATACACCTCCTTCTTGTGGTTTAAACACAACGATGTGCTAACATGCTGCAAAGCATCTGACAGTTTTAATCCAAGGGAGGAGTCTGTCTGTTTTAACTAGTTGACCAAATCCCAAATAGCTTCTGAATTTCATGGCCAATTTTCACTTAGGATGGCAAGGCCAACATATTTTCAGTAATTTTGTGGATCTTCTTCATACACATCATTTGCAATAAACCCACGAAGATTTGGCTGCCACCACAGACACAATGTAAATTTAATGGGAACTCAAAATATTGATGCTGACCTAGTATGAAATGGGTCACGCACAAAAGGAAATAAGTCTCTTCCCTCTAGCTGTCTATTATTACAGGCTTGTTCATCATTAATAAGGACTGGCTAAATACATATTAAGAAGCGAGACACCATAAGAAATGCTGTGGACTTCAAAGGCAGATAGATACCTGGGAAAGGTCAATGCTGAAGAACAAATGAAAGGCCTTCTACCCTAACAGGGTCCTTTCAACTCCCTACATATTGTAAATGAAATAAAAGAATCCGCAACTTTCTTTCCGTGATTTACAGTATAACTCATTCACTTGTTAAATACACCTTTGCTGTTAGGATTTGGGAAGCCAAGTCCCAGTCACAGGAGAAAGCCCAGATCCTGCACTGTCTGAGCGGCCTTTGGAACAGCACTAGAAAGAAGTGGAGACAAACTGGATTTTCTCTGCGTTGCCCTTGTTGTACAAGGAACAGCAGAGAACTGGTCTGTCAAGTGAAGGAATTCTGAATACACCAGGAAGGAGAAATGGGCCTAAATCTTGAGGCCCAATACTGAGGAGTTGTTGCAAATTAGAATAGATCAATTTACACATAAGTAATGCCAGCAATTCAGTCCCCTGCACATAGAAAACAAGGAGGTGAATGGTCAAGGGCAAGTCATGCCTGACAAATGTGGTGGCCTTCTACGAAGGGGTTACAGCGGCAGTGGACAAGGGAAGATCAACTAATGTCATCTACCTGGACTTGTGCAAAGCGTTTGACACCATCCCACACGATATCCTGGTCTCTAAATTGAAGAGACATGGATTCCACAAATGGACCACTCGGTGGATAAAGAACTGGCTGGACAGTTGCACTCAAAGAGTTGTGGTCAATGGCTCGATGTCCAAGTGGAGAGCAGTGATGAGTGGCGTTCTTCAGGGGTCAGGACTGGGACTTGTACTGTTCAACGTCTTTGTTGCAGACACGGACAGTGGGGTCGAGTGCACCCTCAGCAAGTTTGCCAATGATACCAAGCTGTGTGGTGAGGTAGACATGCTGGAGGGGAGGGATGCCATCCAGAGGGACCTGGACAGGCTGGAGAGGTGGGCCCAAGCCAACCTCATGAAGTTCAACAAGGTCAAGTGCAACGTCCTACATCTGGGGCGGGGCAATCCCAAGCACAAACACAGGCTCAGTGGGGAATGGCTGGAGAGCAGCCCTGAGGAGAAGGACCTGGGTGTGCTGACTGACCAGAAGCTCAGCATGAGCCGGCAATGGGCAATCGCAGCCCAGAAGGCCAACCGTATCCTGGGCTGCATCAAAAGAAGTGTGGCCAGCAGGTCAAAGGAGGTGATTCTGCCCCTCTACTCCACTCTCATGAGACCCCACCTGGAGTACTGCATCCAGCTCTGGAGTCCCCAACGTAAGAGGGACATGGCCCTGCTGGAGCCTGTCCAGAGGAGAGCCACGAGGATGATCCGAGGGCTGGAGCACCTCTCCTATGAGGAGAGGCTGAGAGAGGTGGGGCTGTTCAGCCTGGAGAAGAGAAGGCTCTGGGGAGATCTTTATTGCCACCTTCCAGTACCTAAAAGGGGCCTACAGGAGAGTTGGGGAAGGACTTGTTACTAGGGCATGTAGCGACAGGACAAGGGGGAATGGCTTTAAACTGGAAGAGGCCAGGTTTAGATTAAACATTAGGAAGAAGTTTTTCACTTTAAGGGTGGTAAGGCACTGGAACAGGATGCTCAGAGAAGTTGTTGAGGCCCCATCCCTGGAGGGGTTCAAGGCCAGGCTGGATGTGGCCTTGGGCAACCTGGTCTAGTGGGAGGGGTCCCTGCCCATGGCAGGGGGGGGGGAACTTGATGATCTTCAAGGGCTTTTCCAACCTAAACCATTCTATGATTAAGGATGAGGGAACCTAATGCCTAGAAAATTTAATAGGAACATTCTCCAACTCTGGGCCAAATGGTTCAGGTCCCCTCTCAATCTGTTACCTGAGTTACATTATCCTGAATCCACTCCAGCCTGTATCCCAGGACATTCTCTTTCAGCACATCTGGAGCCACACCTTCCCACTCCAAAATCAGACCAGGATCTCTTTGGATAACATGGATATTTTGTGGGGTACTGCTTGGAGCTGAAAGCAGACAACAGAACACAATCACTCTATGCAGGAAAATAAGGCACTACCCACACTGAAAATGGCTGAAAAGACAGATTCACCCTCTTTCCTGAGATCAGCTGGAAGAGTGAGCATGAGGGGAGAGAACGACTTCTGCAAGCCATGAGCACTGTGTTTGCTTCAGGTAGAGAAGAGCAGGTTGGTTAGTGTCTCTCATTTCTTTCTGAGACCACAAGAATCTCAGAGAGCGAATGGGACATATGCCCAGCATGCAGAAGCCCTGTGGCTGAATCAACTTGTGTATCATGCATCATTCCTGTAAACCACATCTGACTGCATATTATTATTTTATGTTAGGTGTTAGGAGACCCTTAGAGCGGACAAGCAATCTGCCAGTATAACGTTTCCTGCATTTCAGAATTAGCAAGGAGGAGTTCAATGAAGTTTATCACTATGTCTTTTTCAGATTCAGAACTGGTTTCCTGTTTTTGTCTGCTCTTTGCTTACTGTTATGGTTTGAGGAACCCACAACATTTTATTGTCATTTAGACAATTATTCTCTCACCCAATGACCCCTTCCCACCCAGGAAGGGGAATGGGGAAAAAACAAGTAAACCTGAGGGTTGAAATATAAACAGATTTAATAGAATAAGACTAGATAATAACACTAAAGAACCAATATTGATCTCAATACCAATATAAAATATACAAGGACTATACTCAGCCAATTTTGTCAGTAGGAAGTTGTGCACTCCCAGCAGTGAACAGCAAATGTCGGACACTGCGAGCACTATGGCTTCGGGAGGAAGAGAAGGGCTCAGGGGTCCATCACTGGGGCAAGAAGTTCTCAGGATGGCAGCCATCAGGGAAGAGAGAGAACTTCTCAGCAAACTTTCTAATTTATATTGAATGTGACGTTCGTAGTATGAAATAATTATGTTGGCCAGCTTGGGTCAAGTGTCCGGGTCTTGCTCCTCCTCATCCCTGCACCAGGCTAGCTCAAAAACACTGAGACTTTGAAACAATGAGACCTTGAAACCCACATACCATAGCTGGCTATAACATAAATATTTTCACAAATTCATACATTAGAGTCTTCTGAAAGTATAGTTTTCCCAAGCACTAGAAGAGACTTTACTGAAAACCAAAATTACTGAAAGAGAAATTAGTCCCATGTAGCTCAAACCAGGACACTTACCAAGCTCCAGGGTCTGGAAATAAACCCGGTCGGTGAAAGGGGAGCTGCCCATCTCATTGCTGCACTGCACACGAACACTGTAGTTGGTGGAATGCTTCAGGCCTTGCACGCCGTAGGCAAAGGGTGGCACTGGGGTGACTTCAGTGGAGACCTCCTGGCCATCTGGTGACTCAGCTACCTGTGCCAAGAGCGAAACAGAAAAGACTGTTACCATAAGCCATATGACTAACAGGTCCATAGGGATAAGAATCCATTTCATGGTTAGTTAAAGGAATGTGTAAGAATAGATATGGTACCTGTGGTGTTTAAAATACTGAAAAGGGAGTTGTCAAACTAAGCATCATGAGCCATGCCTTTGTTTGGTTTAAGTGACATCACTCTCCTAACTCTGGCAGTGCAATAATTTTCCACCAGCTGAAAATTTTGTTCCATATTTTAAAACATTTCCTTACCTGTGTCACAAATTCTACAGTTGATTATTATTTCCTTTAAATAAACTAAATGTGCTTGTTGCTTTGAGTGCTGGCGGCTGGCTTCCGAGGCTTGTCTAAATTTGGGCAATGGAAATCGGTAGATCAACTTCCCTGCTGCTTTTAGTGTCACCTTTTTCTCAACCCCTTTCTCAGAAGTTTGTATATTGTCAGTTTTGTAGTGGATTAAAGACATAGCGGACACTGGTGGCTTGGTTCAACTAAACTGTTTCAAATTAAAGCAAAAATACACTTGTTACCGCTCCTGCAACCCCCCCCTTTTTTTTTTTTTCCAAATCTGAACTTTTAAGCAACATGAATGTTAATTTAAATCTGGTATCACTGTATGCTTTTAATGCATAGGCAGGCTCAATGATCCTGCTTTTGTACTGACAATAGCAGAAATTACTGCATAGCTCCCAGCCTCAGCCCAGCCCATCTGTCTCCTCAAATGCATATGAAATAGCAAAGCTGGGAGTAAAAGTAAGGTGTACTGACAAAAGCGAAACATTCATGTGGACTTTATATTCTTTATACAGCAGTCTTTCTCCCTGTCTCCCTGCCCTTCTGGTAATTCTCACACACACTTTTGGCCCACTGATTTATTTGGCTAATAAAAAGGAAGAATCTCAAGTTTCCGAAACAGAAAAGCATATTGTTGTCATTATCAGTGTCATCCAAAGAAAGGAAAAAACAAGCAGACTTTTGTGTAAAACCCTGTTAATTTGATGATGTGTTTCTGTTCCAACAGTCTGAAGAGTCGGTGCTCTTACATCTGCCCCCTTTATGCCCTGGAACATGGCTTGTGTTAACAGTCAGTAACCAGGACGATTCCCCACCCTGTCCCCAGAAGCAATCTGCCTGTCTGAACATGGTGCTCTCAGGGCACCCGCTGCAATTCCCGAGTGCCAGAAAACCACAGGCAGGTTTCAATCTCCCTTCTTTTTCTGGGAGGCTCCAAGCAATTGTGGGGAGCCAGGAGCACGTGCATTTTCACATGGAAATGTGGGTCAATGTCTCTCACAAAATCTCTCAATGTGGGAAGCGCGGCTTCCCACAGTGGAGGGTTATTGCCAAGTCACCCTGCTCCCAGATCCAAACGCAGGAACTTCGTCCTCCCCAAGCAGAACAGAAAAGGCTTAGAAAAGGGGTGAGAGACTGCTGAGTGGACAGAAACTGAGCTGCTCTGATTCAGCCTCTTTTCCACATATCCCATCCCCCCCACCCCTGCCCCTGCCAAAAGTGAGAGGGAGAACTCAAAACCCAGGGTGATTAGCATTGCAGCATGCAAGCCAGGGAGAATAGGCTGTTCCAACGGGAGATAACTCGCATTGTAAAACAGCGGAAGAAAACCATTTTTGACTGCGAACAAGAACAGAAGCAGCAACAAAACTACTCAGAGACCGGGGCCAGCTATATTCAGACATTCTTTCTGCCAGTGAGTTAAAACAAGATGATGGTTTCTTTTATTTATGAAAGGGAAAAAACATCAGAGCATGAAATATCTGGTTTTCTCCACAAATAAAAAGAGGACTGCGAGTAAATTAGCTAGGCTGCTTCCAGCATACCTTGTGTTTACAATCCTCCTCTACATAGTTGGCAACACCCCACAGAAATTCCACTCCAGCTCACATTGCTGCTGTAATCAGCTAGGGAAAGCATAGGGGCCCAATATTCACACCTGGCAGATAAATCCATGGGGAATGTGCCTACCTGTGTTTGCACAGCCTGCTTCTGGAATCACCGTTTCTTTCTGACACTCAGTTACCAGCTGTTTGATCTGATTTTACAGTTAAGTGTGCAAAGCAAGAAACTAATTCTGCCTGAAGTTGGACACGTACCATTGTTTCCAGGAACCTAAAGAAGCAGTCCCATTTTTCAGAGATGTTGAGTACTCGGCACCCAGTAGAGCTGAAGGGTATTATCACCCTTGATTTTCTGGGCAGAATTGGTCTTTGCCAACGGAAAACCAATCAAGATTTAGTGGCAGGGCTTAAAATTATTCTGAAACTTGCAAATAGGTCTGACTTTGTATCCAGTATGTCTGGATCCCAGCGCTTCCTCTGGCACTGCACAGCACAGGGCTGAGCTGGTATGGGAGCCACAGGCCACTTCACTGGAACAAGTTAGCACGGGCCACCTGCTCCGCGCTAGCAGGACGTGTGAGCACCCTGCTGCCACCCAAGGGCACTTCCCACACAGCGATATCTGCAGTGTACAACTCTGCATGCAGTAGCTGCCACGCATAACCTGCCTTGAGGGAGAATGAAGCCAGTCTCAAAAACTCATGCTCAAAACTGGTCCTGCTGTTCAGCACCTACTTCTGCCCTGGGTTGCATCCTGTTAAGTTTCCATCTTTTAAAACTGTGGAATAAGAATTCAAACGCTGCTACAAAGCAGTGAGGAGAACAAAAGATGGTCCAAGCAGTGTCGTGGCTCAGGGGAGTCCCACTTGTCATGCAGGGCAGGGGACAATCCAGACGGGCCATACCTGAAGAGTGCAAGAATGCAGGGGTGCACGGCCATCGAATCCTGGCACCCAGACCACGCTGGCATTGCTGCTGGTGACTTGGCTTACAGTTACATTGAGAGGCGGGAGAGGCATGGCTATAAAGGAAACAAAGAGACCTTTCAGTATGCACAGGACTGAGCAGGTATTCACATGGAAATGGCAGAGGTTTGAGGTTAGAAATTATGCAATGAAATCACTAACCGAAATGGTACAATATGACATCTTTAGAGAGCGCCCCTGACTGTTGTGAATGAAACTATTATTTTAACATTGAACAAGCTATTGGCATCCATTCTTTAATAGTCCAGCATACTTGCTTGATGCATACAGGCAGCAGTTGACCTCTTTGATAACAATGCCAGTGTGTGATGTTTACACCTTTGCTACTCAGCCCTCTTCCCTGCCCCCTCCATTGCAATGCATGACCCAGCTCTGCGCACACAACTGCCTGTGAACCTACATTGTGAACCAAATCAGGGCTTTAAAATCCCTCCCCTGGTTCTCAGTCCAGCCCCCGAAACCAGCTCTGCCACCACCAACGGGTGGTTTGCTGTAGTCATGTGAATACGCCGCTGCAGCTAGATTTGCAGTAGACTTCTTGGTGCTCTGAAAGCGCTGCCTCCAGATGTCCACCACAAACCTGAAACACCCTGTGAGGGAGTCTGGACTGAAAACTGAGCCTCCTTCAGGCTTGGGACGAAAAAACTCAGAAAGCACTCCGTTTTATAGAGGGGTAATTTGAGGCAAGTGGAGTGCCTATTACGTGGGTGATACTGCATTACAAATTAAGGTCGGAGCCAGGAACAAAATCAGGATTCCCAGACTGGCCATTTAATCAGATGTTTGTGCTTCCTACTGCCACAGAAGAGCTTCAGAGCGCTGCCCCTCTGCTCTCGCTCTGACCAGACACCTCCTTCACTGCAGGGGCCTTTACTATGTTGTCACATTAACCTGAGCTCTTTGGCTTCCTTTTAGGATCCTCAATGCTTCCCTTTGCCTTCTCTTTTCCTCCCACTGTAATTCCACATGGTTACTTCCTATTCTTCCCGATAGATCCCTCACCATCTATCTTACCGTCTCTTTTTTGCTCCTGAGTCTCTGTCTTTTTTTAGGCACCTCACTCCTGAAAAAATTACCAGCTTCATGAATACTAACCCCTCCCCAGACCTTTTGCTGATTTTAAAAAATCCTACGCTGCTGCCATGAGTAATACTTTTCCTGCAGTGCCGCAACAGATTGTACCCTCAGGAGTGCTCTTCCAAAAACCCAAAGGTCCTCAGGACAAGGCTCTGTCTACAAACTGAATTTTCCACCTGTCCTGAGCTGTATCCAGTGGAAAGGAGCAGTAGAAAAGTAATTGCAAACCAGGATTCCTCCAGCTGCATCTTCTACTCTGCCAGAGAACACCTTTGTCTCTCACTGCACCAAGGACAACCACAATACTGCTTTGAGCATCTCGGCAGGGCCATCTTGCAGGAGAAATGCTTAGAACAAAGCCCCTCCCCCGCCCCCAAGAGAGGAAGGGGCAGGAATAGATGGTGCCACAGATTAACCCTATAAAGCCTTTGTTGTCTGTTTAACTAGTTATCAGGACTTAGGGCAGGGGGCTGCCACCTAGATAAGAAGAACAGCATGCAGAGGTGGGAGGTGGGGCAGCAGAGCACAGGTCTGGGATGGAAGATGGGCAATGAGTTCTTTGCCTTTCAGTGAAAAGCCTTTGTAAGTTAACTTAGACTTTTCTGTGTCTTGGTTTCTTTCCATTTTGATGTTGGGTATTCAGGTTTGTAAGCTCTTTGGGGGGAAAAAAGCTTGCTTTCACTGATTACTTGGGTATCATTGAAACACTACCCTTAACTCAAGTCTTTCGTAAACACGCTCGTTACTTTTGGGCTCAGCAACATGCAATTTTCAACACTGGATAGCAAGCCCAAAGGAGGCAGGGGCTGTACCACCAGTGAGAATAAATGATCAACTGCCAACACATGCACTCTGTAATGGAGACAGCCACTGAAGAGGGTCGGCTTGCGAGTACCTTCCCCTAACTCTGCAATTTGTAGAAGGGACAGACGCATTCCCCCACCATGCACTGGAAAAAACCCTCTGGACGGCTGTTTCCTGTTGTGCTCTGAAACAGGGGATACGACCATAGAAATCTTAGCCGCACACACTGAAGGAGAGCAAAGACAGTCTGAAAACAGGACCTTGAGTGTTAACGTAACGAAAGTTAACTTCCTCCGTGCACATAGAGTGGCTGGAACAATGGGGCTTTGTACACGGCTGGGGACTGTGAGCTACAATAACAGTAATTTTCTGCTTGGAATACACCCAGCACATTGTGGACACTACAGAGAATAGATAATGAACAACAACAGCAGCAAATAGGAAGAAATGTTAACAGTTTGTAAATGTTCTAGCAAAAATATTTGCCTCTGGAAACACAGAAGAAGCAAATTGTTTAATAAATGTAGAAAGTCTTGAGAATCCTCATTAGCAGATGGTTTTGTCTAAGAGAGGAAGGCCCTGATCGTGCATGTACAGACAACTACTCCCAAGAGTAATTTCACTGAAGTCTACATGTTCGTAGAATCAAGGACTAAATAAACATTATCTGGGCCTGTTCCTGCTAATGTCCTTGTTAGGAGCTTTGCTTTAATTTCAACAGGGCTATGCGAGATCTTCAAAACTTTTGCTCCTTAAATGAGCCTCATGACTTCCTTAAGTTTATAACTACTTTTAGATGTACCTTTGACGTATTACAGTTAGAACTTTTACGACTACAGCACTGGCCTGGCTCTTTACAACCTGTTTTTTATCTCTAGGACATGCCATGTACTGGTGCAACATTTGTTGAATCACTTAAGCTTGCTCTTCCTCAGCTCTAAAAAGTGGGTGTGTGCATACACCAGCCTGTGATATTGATACATCCCTCCCAAACAGGTTGTGTGGATTCATTCCCTGATGATTAGCCCCTATGGAGCACTTTTGGCTTAACATAATTGCTGGGAAATGTGAGAATTCTGAGGCCTTTACCCCGTTATCTTATTAACAGTTAAAAAAAAAATAATCTGAGTTAACGTCAAAAAAAAAAGAAAAAAGCTTGTTTATGCTAAATGTTATTTCAAAGTACAGCTTGATGAGATGTTTTAAAGCATAACAGCTTTGTGAACTAAATTCTATCCCAGGATAAAAATATCCATAGAAAATATATACCACAATAACTAATTCCCCTGTGTAAACAAGCCTTTAAGGCAACAACTCCAAACATTTTTAAATTAAGTTATAAATCTTACTAGTCCAGCATTCTTGGCATAATAGTAACCACAATGTCCTGAAGAAAGATACACTGTAAGAGTGGTAGATCTACAGCTGGATTTTAAGCTATCCTTTAATGAATATTAGCTAATACAACTGTGAGTTCTGATACGGACATAAATGCTTGCTCTTATTTGCACTGAGCAATAAGCTACCACTCGGAACAAATGATTTTTGTGACATGCCTCTCCTGGAACTGATAATTGTGTCATTTAATGCACATTAAAGCACGACTAAAAATTCAAATGCAGAAGCATCTCAGCATGAAGAGGAGGGGAAGAACTGATTGCTCTGATTATCTCCATTTCAGTCACCTGGAGGAACAGAGGAAAAGTGACATCAACTTAGGGACTTCCAAATAGCAACTGATCATGCAAAGGCTAGGAATTAGTTGTTTTGAATGAGTTTTTAAAGAGCAAAGAATTAAAAAAAAAACCAAAATGCATAAAAACAGTGTGGATGAGCAGACTTTACTAGCCACTGGTGATCACTTTCCTTGTCTTTTTTCAGCATCTAATGTGATGCCCACAGAAGCAAGCAGAAGTAACAGCCTCTTTAGCTCTAACAAGACTCGTCTATCTCCAAGAAGGAAAGATTTCCCCAGCTACAGATTTATACCCAGTTTCATCTCTCACAGACAATTTGACTGCTCTGACTCTCTCCTTTTCAAAGAAGAAACTGTTATTTGACATCACTTTTCCACTCCCGAATCAGATGTGGTTTATTTTCAACAGCTTGGGATACAGCCCTGCATAGCAAAGGGGAACTGCTGTTAAGAGCACAAAGCATTATTTCAACCGCTGAGAGCTCCAACTGGTCTGGTTGCCAGCAGCTTTGAGACAGCCCCTTACATTAAGGAGCCCTACCTTCCCTCCCAAGAAAGCAAACCCGAGTCCCTTACCCATTGTCTTGCACTCTCTCACCTTTAATTTGAACAGTGGCTGTCCGAGATGAAGACAATCCCTTTACGTTGTGAGCTTCACAGGAGAAAACTGTGCTTTGATTAATACCTGGAGATCAGCCAAGAAAAGGAAAGGAAACACAAACATCTATATAATCCAGCTTCAACCTTCAACAGAATTTCAATTATGTGTGACATCCAGCTCAAGCTGTACAGGCACTTGGAGGGCTGAGCTGGGTGTCAATCAAAGGCACGTGGAATTCAATGTAATTAACGTGCTAAACACATTGTTAATGAAGATAGTGTGGCAATGTAGAAAAGCTTCCATGCAAGCTTCAGAAAGCACTGAAAAAGAAGGATGAATCTGGCAGAATTGAAAAAGAAGGAAGAATCTGGCAGAATAGCAGCTCATAGTGCCTAGTTAATAGACGTCAACTTCTCACTTTCTGGTTAACATCTTCCAAGCAAGGACTGTGCTGAACCATATTCTTAGACAGTGCCCAACCCTCTGGGCCTCAGCCTGCCACCTGAGCAACAACCATCTTCTAATTGACTATAAGCCCAAGCAAACTTCCAGCCAGACACTGCAGATTTCAAGCTAATGCCCACCTGTCCCTCACCTTGCATTGGACTTTTGAAGAAATGCAAAGGAAGTACAAGTCAAATGATACAGCATCAGCACTGATGCACTTTCCAGGGGTGATACAATGCAAGTGAGGATTACGCTCCCTGTCTTCTGTGAGTATCCACCCATCCCACAGGGCCTGAACACGGCATCATACTGATGTCTGGCTGCTCCAAGATGCATATAGGTATTGCTAATTAATCAGAATTGAGATAGATTTGAAAAGCTGTCTGGAGAAGTGTGTCCAGCATACTTTTTCACTTGACTTGGCCCTCAGTTGCCTTATAGGGCTCTACCTGAGAAGAGTTAAGGATTGGCACGCTAGTTTAGGAGTGAATAAGACTTCAGAGCTGCACAGAGCAGCCTGCGCAGTGTCTGTCTTTGCCCTTTGATTCACCTCCCAAGCCTGAGACTAGCAACATTGCAAAGAAGGTGTGGTGGAAGAGAGGAGGGACTGCTATAAAATGAAAGAGCAAAGTATTTTAGCTTCTTCCACTCACCCTAATGAGCCAGAGGAAAATGCTGCCAGCAGGCTGAAGCCAGGCAGCAGAGCAGCACCTGACATGGTAAATGTCCCAAAGACAGAACCAAACACAGTCCTGCCCTGAGGAAGACACAAAACACACCACAAACCAAGATCTACTTACTCTATAGCACTATTGCTAGCACAGCATTCCAAGTAAAACAATCTTTTTACCAAACCAACTGCTTGTTGAACCTTCTAAATTTTTGCTTTCTAGCCAGTACTTTATTATTTTCTTCAGAATTTGATACTTTCTTTAGCTAGAAATGCTTGTTTTCTTGCCAACTGCCTTTTTTGACATGCTTTGGGAATCTGACCGTGCAGCTTGTGTCCTGCTACATTTTTTCCACTGCAAAGACAAGATCTGCCCAAGGGACATTGCAAAGAACACTGAAAGGGGCAAAGAAAGGCACTGGTGACGAATATATACAATAGTAATTAATTTGGAGAATCACTAGGAGCAGATACCCTTCTTCAGGCTCCCATACCACTGCCCCATGTGACAGTTTTGTGAGGCACTCTGGAATGAGTTCAGTGGAGGAAGGGAGACTTATTTTTTAATTGTCTTTCCACTCTCAACTATCAATCTTTTCAGTTTCCATTTCAACAGGCAGATTATATCAGAAGGGAGCAGTTTTCATTTCCAACTTGGAACAGCATCGAGTGGCTACACAAGAGAGGGAGCAGATGATAAAACCATTCCGAATCACAAACCAGGATTTGATTTACATATAAATTAGGTTCTAAAGGCTTCATATGATTTGATAGCTCAAAGGATGGCCAAAGATGTACAGAAATAAACTCTCCCTGGGTGTAACTGTATTAACAGTGATGAAGAGGCCCCAGAGACAACTGAGTCGTAAAACCTTTTCTTTCTAAATAGCTTGTTCAACTTTGGCTCAGGGCTGCTGAGAATAACAAAACAGCAGCAAAGAGAAGTAGTAACACAAAGCTGTTGGACAGCTAACCAGAACAAAATTACCCTTATGAGGTAACTACAAGAATAGTTGTGGTCAGGTCCTAGTAGGGATACATTGCCCCTTCCCTGAAAGTGGGCTGAAGAGAGGCATGAACACCTACTGGCTCCTGAGTTCTTCAGCTGACGCTGCTGAGGAAGGCAGTCTTACCACCATGCACCTAGTACCTGCCCTGGGGCAAACCTTGGTCTCTGAAGATATCAACTAGCCCACTTCAGCACCAATACGATGACTCTAAAAGTGTCAAACAATTACATGAGGCAGTCAGGTTTTAACGATAAGAGCATCCAGCAAGCCTGCAAGAACAGACAAAGGGGGAAGAGAGGGGAAAGCAGTGCGTGACATGGCAAAGGAGGAGGAGGTGGCATCTGTTACATATGAACACTTGGAGATTTCCAAGCCAAATGTCACCAGAGTCACTTAATATAATGATGAACACCCTCCATGAGGTGGAACAAAAGAGGCACCCAAGGCATCATCTGTCCAGTAGCATCTTTACCACAGTGCCAGCCCCACCCAAGCTCTGGAGAGCCTGTGCACCTCAAGCCAGCAGAAAATACAGAGCAACGATCACCCCTCAAGATGACCTGGCTTTGTGTGTGATCACGATCTCTCAGCCCTTAATGTACAGTCAAAGACCGTTCTCACACTACGTGGCTACCCAGTGCTGCTAGGCACGATCAGAAGAGAGCTCTCTTCCTCTTCTGATGCTCAAAGTGCTCCCTTGCATTGGCAGCAGCCTTACCTGACACATTTAAGATGGAGGGGGAGATGTCTGGAAGCCCCACTCTAGAGTCTCCCATCCACCAGACAATTGTCACTGGTTCAGGGGGACCAACAGCAGCACAGGCCATATGAAATGGGGCATTAGGGGACACGGACACATCCTCAGGTTCCACAGTAAAGTACGGCACACCTAGAAAAGTAACAGACAAGTGATAATAACTGGAGAGACTCCTTCTGTCTCATGTTTATTTCCACTAATACCAGTGCCCAACACTGGACACTCACCTGCCCTGCCTCTATGCCTAATCTGACTGCCTCCAAGCCCTTCACAAGAATCAAGGGTCAGATACACTGGATCACCTCAGGACATGAATGTCTACATACTCCCACTAGAAGAAGTCAGAGAGAAAAGAGTGTTTGCTTCCCAAAATGCCTTTGAAAAACCTCTTTCACTGAGTCTCCTTCAAGACTCCCCCGTGAAGCAGCTTTTAGTGGCAGTATTTGCTCAGTTTTTCAGCTGGAGAGATTGGAGTTTAAAGAGGCAATGGTCAATAACTTTAGTGGTGGCAGACACCACTTTAAAAGATACCTAATGCAGCTGCAGATACTTCTTGCTATGCATTAAAAACTGAAGCTTGTGAACGTGTTGAACTAGCAGTTGTAACAAACCCATGAACAAGGAAAGAATCCCCCAGGTGAGAGACTGGGAAAATTTACAATGCTCTCTCTACAGCTTAATTGACTGGAGCCACCCTCAAGCACGCTCTGCCACCATGAGAACCAGACTGCCTTGGAGTTTGGGGTGATTTGTTTCAGAGCTGAAAGCTATCCATGAACACAGCTCTCAATAACTGTCTGTTCCCCACTATGGAAAGACTCCTGCTTGGTACAACAGATCTCAGATCAGGTCCACAGGGAGCAAAACATAGCTGCAATGCTAACTACGACAGGTCATCTCTAAGTGGCAATAGCTAAGGGTAACACAACACCACCAGAGATCTGGTTCCTCTTACAGGCAATGCCAAAACTCTTGTGGTTTCAGTACTCCAAACCAGTAATACAAAACTCACCAGCCATCAGCACCAGTGCTGACCCTGCAGAACAGCCAGCATGTGCTTCTGGTGGCTGGTGGAAGAGCTGAAGGCCCAGAGAAATGCCAAGTTCCCTTTTATACTCAAAACTTTGGGTGTCAAGCCTAGCTGCTACCCACTGCATCCACAGCAAAATCAGATAGTCTCAGCTGGAAAAAGTGTGCTCAGGAAACTGCTGATCTGCTGTCTCACAGAAAGAGAGGAACCAACAACATTGTGTATTCACATGCCTAAATTACACTGTCTGTCCCTGGCCAAAGATGACAGGCCCAAGTGGCTCCAGTTGGTATGGCAGATGCTGAGCACCTCCAACAGCAGGCAATTAATGTAGGTGCCTAAATAGGGATTTAAAATCCTAAGGCTTGGCATTTCCCTTACACTCCAGCTGAAAGTGGTGTCCTGAGTCTTTCACCGACCATTCAGTCACTGTTTGTGTCTTTCAGGTGGCAGTTTCTCTGTGCCTTCCTCACCTCCTTGCCACTCCCTTTAGATTGGTAAGTAAACAAACTAAAACAGTCTAAAAATAGGTCACTTCAGGAATGATGTACAAAGGCTAATGCTCAGGACAGGTATATTCATCATCATGATTTACTGCCGGTTTTCGCTTACACGTTTTACTTCATTTTTTTTTATTGCAGTCACACATAAACAATAAAAATGAATAAACTTTCCAGATACCAGCTGTGACACCTCTGCCTGCTTTACCCTCCTTCTCCAAGGAAGATTGGAAAGGAAAATATCATCGTTTCTTCTACCTGTGAGCAGGATCTCTGCCTCCTGTCCCTTTGCCATGGCACCCGAGGTAACCTTTTGGGAGGATCCTGCCCAGCTCAGCAGGTTTTCTCACTTTGGGAGCAGCTAGCCAGATTAGACAAGACCACAATTAAAAACTCTTACAGTTCAGGGAGTACAGCTGACTCATTCAGCTCAGGAACTTGCACTGCCCCCGTACGTATGTTACCTGGATACCTCACTGTCTGCGACACATTTAGCCTCCCAGTTACTGGTACAAGAGGCGAGTGCCAGCACCCCCCTTTCACAGATGCACCACGGAGGCACTGAGCAGCCAAAATCCAGGAAATCAGTGGCGAAGCAAGGAAATGAGCCTGTCTATTCCCCGTTCCAGGCCACCATCCAACCTCTGGGGCTGATTTTTCTTCCTACAGTTCAGTTTTTAGATAGTGTTAATTCAGGGAGATGTGTCTGTACAAGCGTGGCTGGGGCTCTGACTGTCGCCACAACAGGGGCTAGCAGCCCCAGGAACAGCCATACGCCCAGAGGTGTAATTACAGAGGGAAAGTTCCGTAAGAAACATAATCTGTATTTTTCAGTTGGTCACAGTCCACAGTGTGCCTCTTGGATTACCTCTCCGGGCATCAAACACTATCATGTTCTCGGTAAGGCCAGAGTCTAATTTCTAAACTAGCAAATAGTTTCCAAATAATTTTGTTTGTGTAAATTCACAAGATCAAACGTTTTAGCTGTATTACAAAGACAGTTCAAATACCACTCTGCCTGAATACAAATTCTGCCTGATACAGACTATGTAAGTGGGTCTCATTAGACAGCACAGAAGTCCATTCAAGCTCACTTTAGTAGTCCACACTTGTTTTGTGTGGCACACTGAAGGCTATCAGCACCTACCGAAGGCTGTAAATGACCAGAGTAAAGATCCTCTCTCAGTCAAACAGGACACGGTTGTTATGAATATACAGCAACCACTTCTAGACAAAGCTGATACTCCCAGGGAAGAAATACATACAGCAGTAACAGTGACAGTGGGACTGATAGGCTTTTGAATTCCCCAGTGTATTCTTATGCTAACAGCTGACACATTTTTAAAAATCCACCCCTTATCATTACTTGTTATTTTTTAATTTTTTTCCACTAACTCCCATTTCATGTGATTACACGCTCAGTTCAATTTTAACTAGTTTCTGCTGTACTTGCTTTTTTTTTTTCAGCTTCCGCTGTAAGCTTTGGCATTCATTCTCAACACTCCCCCTTACCTAGCCACAGCTGATTTTTGTGACTTTGATATTTCTTGCCTGTGCTATCCAGAAGGGTTTTTCAGATGGCTTCACACACAGAGCTACCCAATCACTCCTAACACACCCACCATGCAAATGCAGCCACCTCTGGAGTGGGCCATGATAATTGGAATAGAAATAGAAACTTTGCACAATAGAGAGCATTTTAAGCTGTAAACAAGTTCTCCAGTTGAAACTGCACCTTAAGATTTAGGTGGCTAAAAGCCTGGGATTTACGGAAGGCAGCAAGTAGGCGCTCCTCTTCTCGTGAGAACTGCTACAACTGTTTCCACAGCTCTGAGTGAGTCCTTTGCTGTAAAACACCCAGACCACATCACCTCCCACAACACCCTCCCTGCTCCCCCTCTTTAAAACTATCAATTCAGCTCTGGCCCAAAATGTTACCGATTACATTCAAAAAGCCACTTCTTGCTGCAAATGCACTGTTCCTGTCAACTTCCTCACCAAATATTAAGCCATCCTATGACTATTAGCTTCTGAGAATCTAACACAATCATGGCTCGAGGAAAACAAAACTAGAGACAGTAAGAAGCCACCAATCCATGCTGCCATGGGCGACTTTTGGGCAACCATGTAGAAGTTATTCTTTATCAGACAAGACTGGGCAAAACAGTGCCACTCAGAAGAGTCACAGCTATGAAGCACTGATGTATAGCACTTCTCCCAAAACTCAGAATTGGGCTAGAACTATATGTTGCCCTCAAAGACCTGTTTGGCTGATGCACAGAACCAGGCTGTGACCCCGCTTTTGAGAAGTGGGTTGGACCAGATGATCCCCATGGATCCCTTTCAACCTGAACCATCCCGTCGTTCTATGAATTATTTGGAGACCAAAGCAATAACTGATTGAGGGGCTGGAAAGAAATGTGCGTGCATGAATGGATCTTTCACTTGTTTCCTAATGTGCCAAAATAAAACCAGAAGGTAATAAACTGACAGGTCCTCTCCTTGAAGCTCCTCTCCTACAATTTCTTACTCCTGCTCTGTAGTGATCTCACTGCAGTTAGCAGCAACGGTTCATAGCCAAGAAGCCTGTCACTGGAGCAATCTGCTCTCACCACTTCCACCTAGAGCATATTGGTGGGTCAGCCCTGAAAGGAAACCAGCACTACTACTACTCCTTACCTTCCACTATGAGCCACACTTGCTGTGATTCTTCCTTCTTCCCCCCGTTCTCAACCTGGCACCAGTACTTCCCAGAATCTGTCCGCTCGACGGATTTCAAGCTGAAAAAAGTCAAAAGCCATATCGATATTTTACGTGGATAAAGCACGTTTTTGCCCCCAAAGGACCCTCCAGTGTTTGACAAACCAGAGGCATGGACAACACCCACTGAGACGCAGCCAGCTCTGGGGAGGAGGACAACAGCTAGCCAGCGCAAAGCACGTGGCAAAACAGCAGAGACGGGAGACTCCTCTCTACAGTGGGTGGATGGAATCCTCAGCAGAGCAGACAGCTTTCCTCCGAAACGTCATCACAGAAAACCCGTCATTTGTGTCCTTTGAGGATAGGAAGGGGTTGGTCATCTTGATCCTGAATCGTGACTCTAGCTAGCCGTCAAGAGCGGCAGCTTGGCCTACAGTGTCTGAGCTAGCAGGAAACTCCAAATCACAAACCTCCAATGAGCCCGACTGTTTTGCCTCAGTTAGGTGACAGGACTGGTGACGGGCTCATATGGGAAAAGATGGGTCAGAAAAGCCCCCTCCCCATCTCAGCTGCACTCAGTGTTATTCTCATCCCAAGAGCGCTTCACACTGCAAAACTCCTTGGGCCTCTCAATTTGCAATTTCAAAGGGTTATGCTGCCCTAGTCCAGCACAGGACCTCACCCTACAAACTCTTCTGTGTCCTCCCTTGCTCAGCAACAGCTCCCCTCCTGAGAAAATGCATCCAAGCAGGGGAAAGCAGCCACGGGAACTGAGCAGCATTCAGGTCATAGCCCGCCTGTTCAAGGGGGGAATTCTGCTCCTTGCTCCACTGCTGGAAGCCTGCGGTATCCTCACTGCCATTAGCAACACAAGGCTAGCATGGTGAGTAAGGGCAGAATTTGGTCCCAAAGCGACATGGTCTCAGCTATCAAAGGCACCACTGTGACTTTGAGCGCCTGTCACTGTACAAACGCTGATTGCACCCCGTGGGATGTGCAGCCATGCGCCTGCTGCCATGCAGGGATCCTCAGCAGATCTGATGCCCGCCTTTCTGACGCTAGCAGTCCGCCTTGGGGAAGGGGAAGAATGTCCCAGGAAGGAAAACAGAAAAGGGAGAGTGTTTCCTGAAATGCACAGAATAGACCCGCTACAGCCTGATTTTCAGAGCTGTACCTTCACACAGCATCAGCTGTCCTGCCCATCCAGCCGCATGTTCTGCACAGCGATCGCAGCATAGAGTCACACAGTGGGTGGTAGAAATGATCACTTTAGGAGAAGAAAGGAAAAAGGAGAAAAAGATACAGATACATCTAGATTTAGCACCCTATACTTAACCCTGGTGCTGCAGAAAGTTCTCAGAGGCAGAAGACAAGAGGTGAGAAAGAAAATCAGACTGAGAGACTGTGAGGGGCAAAGACAGTTAACTAGGGGAACTGTGGGGAAGTAAATAGTATAGTTTCAAGACAAACTGTTTCCACAACATAATGTTATGCAATAGTTTTACTGGGAACAGATCTTTTTCCTATCAAAATGTTTGTTACAGACAAGCTTTAGCACAGAGACTGGAATTGGAGAATCCGTGCAACGTCAATCCAAGAAACCTAAGAGGAGATGAAGCCGGAGCTTAGGGAAGAGTGGTTCTCAGTCAGTCAACAGTTTTGAGCCCTCATGGTGACGGCACGCTTGCTTGTACAAGCTCTCTTTATGCATAGAAAAAGCCAGAACAGAATCTTTAGTCTTGTTTAACTCAGTACTTCCAGAACTACTTGAAATCTCCCTTCTGCTGAAATAAAGGCACAGAGAGCTGCTTTGCAGAAGAGAGTTTTCGTGCCTCTGAGCGGGGCAGGACTGATATCGTAGTGTAAATGCATTAGGAAAGTCTCTGCAAAATGACTTAGGGATGGTTCAGGTGACAAACACTCCTCCCCAAAGAAGGGAAGGGGATGTAGTCCTGGGAGTCTCATTTCAATTAACAATCCTCACCCTTTAGGCAGACGGACAGCTTGAGAGAGAGTAAGAGAACAGAAGAAGTATGAGAGAGAAAACCTATTTACATAAGTCAGACCTTAGTCTTCCTGCTGCATGGCAGAACAAGATGAACAAACAAGGCAAGAACGTCCTTTCACCTTGAAGTCACATCTCAAGCATCACAAGCATCAGCAAAGCACCTGTCACCACAGTAGTCAGGAAACCAATATGATTCTTGTGCATAAAATCTCAGCCCTCAGTGGCTTCAGTTCTGCTCTCAGTTATGCCCTCGCCATGCGCTGAACTGCAGACCCAAGGACACTGCCCCACCAAGGGCGCTGCAGTTGCATAGATATAGCTGACAGCAGAAAACTGTGCAATAGTTTCCGCGACACTCTTCCTTCTCTGCATCTGTTGTACCTGAGGAAGCCGATCCAGTGTTCTTCATCTACTGGAATGTACACCTGGTCTACGCTTTGCACCACTGCTCCGTCCTTGATCCACAACATCTCGGGATCTTCCATTCCCTCGAGGCTGCAATTTAGTTTGACGGGTTGACCCTGGGACACCTTTAATTTGATTGGAGATCCTGTAAATTTCATACCTAAAAAAAAAATACTACTCCGCCCCACCCCCAGAAGAAGGGGGGTTGGAGTACAGCGAATTACTCTAGGTTGGTGGTCTGGAATTACATACCCTACCAGCACACACTGCAGAGGGGTCTGTTAGTCTCAGTACTGCTCTACTATGTCTGCTAAGCAATAGTCAAAGGCAAGCACTAAAAGCATGACTGCTGGAGAAGAGTGGTGGCTCAGTCCATACGTGGGGCTTTTTTCAACTTGTGTAACAGCAGGGCAAGCTTCTGCAGAGCAGTGCCCAGGCAGAGCCAGACAGAAATGCTGGGAGCTTCGTTGTGTCAGGGATCCAGTACTGCTAAGCGCATTTGCTCAACACGGTACCACAACTCCCTCTTTTCCCCAGGCTTGAATTTCAGCTACAGTGTTCCTGTGCTGCTAAGAAATCATCGTGCTTTCTCCATTGTATGCATTTGTAAAGAGCTGGGATATGAGAAAGAATCAATTATGTCCTGTTACTTAGCGTACACTGTTCCTCTGCATTACAGAAAGCTTCTCTGCAATTTGCAAAACCCGTGAAAGCAAAGCCTATTCCACAGCATACCTCGCCGAGGAGCAGAACTGTTGACAGAACAGATATTTCTGTCGTGTGATGTGGGCGTGTGCTCAGATGAGCCTCCCTGACCCTTCAGTCCAGCCAAAGGACCACGTTATACTCAGAGCTATGTAGTTGTGACCCTAAAGCAGCAGGGCCAGAGTCAGTGGAGCTGCTCAGGTTTACATTGACACAGAAGCGATCAGAATTTGGCCTGGAGCCCTGTTACACGTGTGGGTGGATGGGGAGTGTTTCCCTCAAGCAGAAGCGAATATATGGAATGTGTTACCATGAGAAAACACGGAAGCCAACTATATAAGCGCATTTAAGGAAGAAAGGCATATAAAGGAGGAACCAGAGGATCAAAGGAGACCGTGGGAAAGCAAGAAGGTGGGAAATAAATGTAAAGCTAGTTCTGTTAGGGAGAGTGGCCATTTCCTATGCAGTGGCACAGGACCGACAGACCAGAACAGGTCTAGCCTAGTTCAATATTATGCCCTAGCAGCGGCCTTCACATCCTTCAGAAACAAATGACTCCATCATCTTGCTGCCCTTGCAAGGCCATGTATCACAATACATTACAACTTCACCCAGTTCACCGGCTGGTCAGATGCTCACAGGATGCATCAATAGCCTACAGAGCCAGACAGAAAAACGCCAGTTGTGAAATCCAGAGCGCTGCTAAGTAGCAGCCCTGATGCTCTTGAACTCTGTTACAGCCTGACTGGTAATCAAGTACAGAGATTCCTCATGTGCCAGTTCCCTTCTTGCCAACGCGCCACCCTCCCACAGCCACGAGGGCACCACCTTGCCCTCACGGGGCAGAGCAGCAGTGGAGTTACTCGCAGTGTGGTTGTAGCAGCTGGAAGAAGGGGGAGCCAGCACTGAGAGACCAGCCGGCACTCTGCCACTGGCACCTGGTACCCGGCAGAGCACCAATGGTCCGGGAGAAATCCCAGAACACAGGCAGAAGGACCTTATTCTTTTCCTTAACGAGATCCCCCAGCCTGTTAACAGCTGGTTTCCCACACTCAGTCTTTAGCCTTTCTATCTGCTGTTATTAATTTAGGAGATTCACAGAGACCACTGGAAAACTGGCAAGATGATCATTTTCGTTTAGTTGCTACGGCTCGTTTGCTGGGCTAAGTATTTAATCACCTTGGGTGAGGATCATCTAACCTTGCATTACTTAGCTCATCTGTAACACAAATTACATGTCCCAGTGCATGCCAGAAAGCATCCTCCCCTTCACCACTCACAATATTGGAATAAACCATGAAAGCTTCATAGCATCTCTGTGTTACAGAAAACTGATGTAGCCAGGCTATTGAGCACGCACACAAATTGACAGACACTTTCATTACAGGTGCCTTCATGGAAAAACAAACTACTCAGCTCTCCTCAGACTGCCCTCCTGAAAGAGTCAGCCACAAATTAACCAAAGAAGTGTTGTTAGAGACCCTTTATGGTTTTCAGTTCCCATACAAATTAATGATGTAGGAAATTAATATAGAGTACAAGTGTACAGCCCAAGTTGTAATTCTCCACATTGCCCAAGTATAATTCCTCTGTCAAGATCAACTGAAATGAAGAAATACCGACCAGAGATTTTTAATAAATTCACAGGTTTTTGACAAAAATCCAGTTTTAGCTGCAGCATCTCTTCCTGCAGGTATCAGGAAGAAGCACACAGGAGGCCAATATGGATTTTAATTTCCACCTATTCCTCCTTCTACTCTCCCACTCATGATTTCTCATCTGATAACATTCTTGCCAGCACATTAAATAATCTCATCCGAACAGGCTCCTCCAAGCCTACCTGTAAGAGCTGCAGGAGTTGAAACACATAGCTAAGAAATAAAATTGTATTCAGTGTCTTATCAACCAGTTGTAAGACAGAATTGACAGCAAATTAACATACCAGTTGTCAAAAATAGGTGACATACTTGTTTGCTGGTTTGGTTTTTTTTTGGTTGTGTTTTTTTTTTTTTTTTAAAAAAAAACTTGCTATCTCTGAATGATTCCTAGACACGGTAGCATGCTTTTTGTGAAGTTATTTTAGGAGTGGAGAGAGGAGAAGAAGATGTCTACCAATGCACAGACGGCAAGGGAAAGGTTTTTCGCTCCTCAGGTACCTTGGGACCCCGATCTAGCGATCCTAGCTGTACCGCAGCCCCTCCAGCTGGGTGTCACCCCACGCACATCGCTCCACAGGCACCGGCGGAGCCCAAACTCCCGGGGCAAGCCGGCGGGAGGCTCGCCTGGGCGCCGAGCAGCTCTCACACGCTGCTTCTCCCTGCCGACTTGGGGGGTGAAACTTGGGAAAATGAGTTCAGGGGGGGGAAAAAAACCAACCAAACAAACAAAAACCCAAACGACAAAAGCCACTCAGGAATGCGTTATCTCCCGGCTTTCCTC